AGACTATATCAAATCTGGAGCTTTGTTGGCTTGTGGTATTGTCAATTGTGGCATACGTAATGAAGTAGATCCTGCTCATGCTCTACTCTCCGATTATATTCATAATCACAATACATCCATGCGTATTGGAGCAATTTTGGGCTTGGGCATTGCTTATGCCGGCTCAAATCGTTCCATTGTTATTGATACCTTGAAAACAGTATTTTCACACAATGACAAATCTACGCCCAGTGTAGAGATTATGGGTATAACTGCCTTGTCATTGGGTCTGATTGGTGTGGGTTCTTGCAATGCCGAGATCACGGAATTCTTATTGCAAACCATTATGTACTTGACTAAGACCGATTTGAAAGATACTTTCACTCGTTTTCTGTTCTTGGGCTTGGGTTTGCTTTATTTAGGCCGCCAGAAGGCCACAGAAGCTGTTATGCTTACCTTGGAGGTTTTGGATGAACCCTACAGATCAATGGCTACCACTATGGTAGATATCTGTGCTTATGCCGGTACTGGTAATGTTTTGAAGATTCAACAATTGTTGCACATTTGCTCCGATCATTATGAAACATCGAATAGCAGCGAAAGCGATAATGATAAAAATAAAAAGGATAAAAACAACAAGGAAAAGGTAATATTACTATTAATTTATGAAATATTTCAGTAACTTAGATTTTCAATTTAATTTTAGGATAAGGCCGAAAAAGAGAAAGAAAAGGAAAAAGATCTTTCTGCTACTCAAGCTATTGCTGTATTGGGTATTGCTCTCATTGCCATGGGCGAAGATATTGGTGCCGAAATGGCATTCCGTTCATTTGGTAATCTGTTGCGTTATTGCGAGCCCTGTATAAGACGTTCCGTACCCTTGGCTTTGGGTTTGATATCTGCGTCTAATCCTAAACTTAATATTTTGGATACTTTGAGTAAATTTTCTCATGACAGCGATGCTGAGGTAGCCCACAATGCTATCTTTGCTATGGGTCTTGTTGGTGCTGGCACCAACAATGCCCGTTTGGCTGCTATGTTGCGTCAGTTGGCCCAATATCATTCTAAAGATCCCAGCAATCTTTTCATGGTGCGCATCGCTCAAAGTTTAACACATTTGGGCAAGGGTACTCTTACCCTAAGTCCCTACCATAGTGATCGTCAACTAATGAATCCTATGGCTGTTGCTGGTCTTATGGCCACACTCGTGTCTCTGTTAGATGTCAAAAATCTTATTTTGGGTCGCTCTCATTATTTGCTGTATTGTTTGGTGCCCGCCATGCAGGCCCGTATGCTTATTACTTTCGATGAAGATCTTAATCAATTACAAGTTCCCGTACGTGTGGGTATGGCTATTGATGTTGTCGGTCAAGCCGGTAAACCCAAGACCATAACCGGCTTCCAAACTCATACAACACCCGTACTCTTGGCTATGGGAGAACGTGCTGAATTGGCCACCGAAGAATATATTGCATTAACACCCATTATGGAAGGTTTTGTTATACTAAAGAAAAATCCAAACTTTGTGAAGTAAAAGTGATGAAATTAAGTACGGCTAAATTTATAAATTTAATATAAACTAAATTATATATTGTGCTTTCTTCTTGATTTCTAATATAATTTATAAGATTTAATTTCTTTTGAATATTCTGTAATTGGCATTCATTAGAATGTGTCACTTTATTGGAAATTTTTTAAGGCTGCGAAATGCCAATTAAAATATTAAGGTCCTTAAACTTAGATGTGAAAGAGGACACTAAAAAATATAATTTTTCATAATACATACGATCAAATGCTGTGTTTAAAAAAAAAATATTGTGGCAGAGCAGTGAAATTGAACAAAAGTGGAAAATTCCGTATGTAACCGATGACACTTTGGAAATATATAATGGTAAGTGGGTAATAAGAAATAAAAAGAAAAAAGTAACTTTAGAACAATATTTAAAAAAAAATATTGTGGCAGAGCAGTGAAATTGAACAAAAGTTGAAAATTCCGTAAGTAACCTATGACACTTATGGAAATATATAATGGTAAGTGGGTAATAAGAAATAAAGAGAAAAAAGTAACTTAAGAACAATGAAATATATTTATTAAATAAAACTCAGTTTAAAACAAAGTACAAGTTTTAAAACCTTACGAGTGGTATTTTTCATTTAGAAAAGTCATTCAAAATATAACGTAAATTATTAACCACTTTATGTACTTAATTTTCAACCATTTAAATAATGTTTAAAATTTAACATTTATTACACAATTACTATGGACAAAAACATATATATTAATACTATATTATCTATTACTATATATAGCATATAAAAATATTTATAATTATATACTATATGAAATTTAAAAACTCTGAGAAACGTATCTAATTGGTGGTTCCTGGTTTGGTTTTGTTAATCTAAAACTTGTTGTAACATCATTTAACGATATAAAGCTAATTGAGCATTTAATTCTGATTCATCGATTTCCTTCATATTAAGTTCGGCTTCTTGTTTTTTTAAAAGCTCAAAAATGGCTGCCAACTGTTCGCGTTCAATTCTGAAAAAAAAAATTATAAAATTTAATAAGTGTATAATAAAAAAATTTACAATAAATTATTTAAAATAAGATAATTTTAGATATTACAAAAAACGTTCAAGCCAATATCTCAATTAGATTCAAAATATATCTACTATTTAAATATTAGTCCTTCAAGACTTTGGTATAAATTATTTTTATTCATTCACAAGTTATAAAAAACTTATTTTACACAGCAAATTGTGTACTAAGAAAAATCTGAAAAATGCCAGATTTTTTACAACAAATTTTGATGTGGAATAATTGGGTAGGTAGTACATAAAAGGATTGATCTTAAATGGAAGAGTGAGTAGTGCATGACTTTTAATTTATTCATTTGATATCAGAAAAACTTGGTGGTCTAAAATGAATAGTGTTTTTCTGGCTTTCTAATTAGAAAACCAATATCATTGAAATATTTATATTAAAAAAAGAGACATTTTAATTAAAATTCTATTTAGAAAAAATATGTGTTTTATATATATAACTTTTTCCAACTTACCTTTTCTCTTCCTCCAATTGATCTCTGGTTAATTGGGCTTCCAATTCTTTAACTCTTTTCGATTTCAATTTACTAACAAGACCATCGACATGCATATCATCATCCGTATCATAGTCAATGTCGGAATTGTCATTAGTCGAAGTATTAGAATTGCGTTTCGCATAAACTTTTTTATAAGCGTCATTGTCCTCATAATCACTTGTATTTTCCAATTCATCAAGTTTTAAACGTTTTTGTATTTCCTGTTTTAATTGATAATGATTTTCTATTTCAGTGGTAGTAGTATTATTAAGATAATCATCATGTTCTGGCAATTCTTCCTCCCCCATATCCTCGTCATATTCCTCGCCTACTTCATTTAATACTTGTTTTAATTGCTTTTCCTACAATTTGCGTGCAATTAATGTCAATAATTTCATTTAAGGATTATCGAACAACAATAACAAAAACTTACACTTTCGTCCTTGAGAAAATTACTGCAATAAAATGCTATAATAACCGCTAAAAATGCTGTTGCAATGCTTACTAAATAAATATTTGAAACACCATCAAATATTGAATCTGTTGCAGCATATTTGTACATTGCGTTTTATGTTTTTTATTTAAGTAAATTTGCAATTTGTATTTATGTTTTTAAAATTTTCAACCAAAAATAACTTGAGTTTATTCGTTTTTTGCCAATATAAACAAGCAGAGTCCTGAGTCGAAAAACAATAACGTCGGCGGCAGTTGATACTATGAATTTCGGCGACTGCTTAAAGTTTCAACTATGTTTTTTGAAAACCGCATAGGTTCCGAACGGAAGGACCTACAGTGCTATTTTTTTTAAAGTAAATTAATAAATTGTTAACATATCAAATAAAAACGATTCATTTTATTTTATTCAATTCAAGTTTTTAAAAATTATGTACATTTTCATAAAATTAATTAATTTAACAGTTTTTTTTCATTTGTGCAAATATTAAGAGAATTTTTTAAAATAAGAATTTAAAGCTTATTAAAGAGTTCTCTCCGATCTAGTTCTTTGGTACTAGTCATACATTAGTACTACACTAGTTCAGTGGAAGGCATACATGTATCGAAACAATTTCCTTTTGAAAAAAAATTGAAAAAAAAAAAACAAACAATAAAATCTAAAATAGTTAATAAAATATTTTTAACGAATATGAAACATGCATTAAAATATTAATATGTATTTATATGAGGAATTAAACAACTACTGGACCGGGAGTGAGATCGATTTTTTGTTGTAAACGTGAAAACTAAAACTAATTTTTTCATGAATATTAGATAAATAAAAATTTAATTTATATTTAGATGAGAAACATATTAACTTCTACTATCTCAATTTGATTTTTCAAACCCCTTGATTTGTTTAAAAGTTATTTAAAAACTAGTGAAATATCTTTAAAAAAACGAAAGCCATTTTTCTCGAAACGAAATTTGTTCAATTATACCAGTCTTGTAGTAAATGAGCGTACTAGTTATGAGGCTAACAAATTCTAACAAAAATCATTTATTAAAAAACTACTTCCAGAATCGTTCCATAGAAGGTGTGTCAATTCGTCATTAGTCACGAATATACTCTTTCTGTAATGTCTGAGTGTCCCTATTGTGACTTCCTCCTAGGACAAGCTTATGTTAAAATATATAGTCATCTGGATAGTCGGGAGGCTAGGGGTAGATTTAAGTTGTAGGTCTAATAGGTTTGTTCGGTACTACCCTTCGTAGTACTCACTTATATTGAATTACTGCGTTAGACTCGTATTTCTAAGCGAGTAATGGGCGTTGAAGTCATTTTTTGGAGGGGACAATATATGAGGGGTAGGGTCATTTATGAACCGATCCTCATAAAATGTTATTTATTTTCCACTTGTATGGGGGCTATGCGAAAACGTGGACCGATATTCCCCTAACAAACATACCAAACAAACTTTACATATAAGAAATATTTGTGGAAAATTTCAACTCTCTAGCTCTTTCCGCCCGTGTTTACAACAGACAGACAGACGGACGAACAGACATGGCTAAATCGTCTTAGAATTTAATAAGAACCCAGAATATATATATATAATTATAATGCCAGATTCAAATTTTAAGTAGCAATCCTTCATTTCGATTTATATAATTTTTTGTTGGCCTGTGTTATTAAAAAAAATCAGTCTAAATTAATCTTTTTATACAGCATACATATGTTCCTCTAGAATTCTGCCTAAAATCTAGGAAACATAGTGTATGAAAAATTCGATAAAATCACTCTGAAATATTAAATAAAATAAAACAAATCAGAATGGGACCACAAATAGAACAAATTTTTTCTCCTGATTGTTTAATATTAGTGTGTTCTATTAGATCGGATATATAGTCACTTTAAGTGAGAATAAATTCAATTTTCCAGCTTTATAAGTTAAAAGTCATGGGCCCAAAAAGTCAATGCTCACTTGTCACTTAAAATAATTTTTTTTGACCATTAACTTTAAAAATCAACTTAGTTATATAAAAAGTGGATGTCTAGTTTTACCCACATTTTGAAAAATTATTAAAAATTACTAGATTAAGTATTTTTTTTTTTGAATATCTTTGTCTGTTCAATAACTAAAAGTTGTTACTAATTTTCACACAAAATATTTGAAATTTATATTGAAATACAAAAACAGTTTCTGATAATTTGTAACAAATTTTTGTTAATGAACAGACATTCTATTTTCTAACAAAATTTCTTAATTTAAATTTAAAGTTTAATTTTTAAACTTTTAAAGAGTAAATCCCAAATTGATTACAATAAAATTAAGGACAATTGTCCTGATAGAGATTTGTAGCAAAAAGCGTGATTTGTTATTAAAAAGCGGGATGGAAATCTAAGTCGTGATCAATCTTTAAAAAGCGGGGTAATCCCGCTTTTGGCGGGATGTCTGGTCACGTTACTTATATACAAATTAGTGTTAAACACATTACTGTAAATGACGGTCTTTTACGTGTGTATTGACACTTTACCGAACTCTCTGCCGATGTATGCTTTAACGTAAATTATTATTTTATTTTAAAATTTATATAAACTCTTTTTCATTACCTAAAAATTGAGTTAATAAGTTTTTTACCAAACTTGATTTCGTTGGCCTGTGTATGAATTAGAGAATTCTTTAAAAGCCTTGTTCGTGATTGTATTAGTAATAAACTTAACCTTATGACTTGAATTATTTTAACATTTTAAGGTTTTTAAAACCATATTTAGAGAATAGATTCTAAAAGAATGTAAATAGTTAATTTGCACAAATGAAAAGAAACTTACACGTGTTTATAAATTTAATAGTAGTTTTCTTCAGTAAACTATTAAAAGTATTTATACTAATATTAGGAGAAATAAATATGCTTATAAATAAACAAATGTGTGATTCCTTTTCAACTTACACATTTAATGTAAATTTTAATTAATATTAATTACATTATTCTACAAAATAAAACGACATGACAAAACTACAAATAAAATGAAAGCAATAAAAATTGTAGATGGAAAACTGAAAGTCCATTTTAACAGAGTTTAAAAAACAAAAACAAATTTAAAATTAATATGAAGATATGTACATATATCAATCAACTGATGCGGTTTTTATTTTCTATTAGGTATCATTAAAAATCATAACAATTCTCATTTTAGTTATCTTTGTCGTTATAAAATGAAAATCTAACGTTTTGTAGAACAATGTAAAGATGCCTTAAGGACTAATAAAAACATATCCTATAGAAAATTGCTAATTATATTAAAATTTACTTATTATTTAAATATTTCTAAATTAAAATTTAACTTATCTTTCCAATTGCCATTTGGTTGTATATGTTCATAACCAGCACGACTGCTGGGATGTAATTGTTGACCTACCTGGAAATTATCATCGTTATTATAAAATGTTTGAGAGAAATTTTCACATTGCCGGTAGAAATTTTTTAACATATATTCATGTAATAAATGATCGTAAAGTTTCAGTTGAAAGGCCACTTTTTTGGCAATTAACATACGTTGGCTTGGGGGCAAAGGACGCTGATAGCTATTGACAGAAATCTAGAAATAGAAAAAAGGGTTTCTATTTTAAGGCAAAATAACTTATTCCATTCTGTTTTTTTTTTTTAAAGAAATTCTCTAAACTTTAAAAACTTACAAATATTCCGCCAACGGCAAAACTTACCTCTTTATCTTCATCATTTTCAAAATATACATTTGATATGCTGAAAGTTTTTTGAACAGCTTCTTCCAAAGTTAAATTACACTTTTCCCCTGTCACTACACAATAGGCCAAAAATGTATCAAATATACCTTTGAGTACAATATTATGACGATATTTTAAATGATCTGCAATCTTATGGCTAAAATGTACAGCTTTGCGTGGTCTTTCTGCTTCCAAAATCAAACGTATTTCTTTGAATATTTTACCAATTGCCAACATATCAAATATATAAATGTTCTGAGCTGTAGAGACAGCCATTAAAGATGTCTTGCAATTTCTGCCCATTTCTATGGGATCGATTAAAAGGCCAATTACCGTTTGACTTTTCATGTCATTTAAGGCCTTGTGATATTTGTGATCGGTTTGTGTTATGAATAACATGCTATCCAATTGAGTTTGTAGCAAATGTAAATCTAAAGCTGTTAATTGTATATTTAAACTGTCAACAGTTGGTTTTTTACCACTACTACTACTATTGGACATTTGATCCATGTCAATTAAGGATGTATTGCAACTTTTTACCAGTTCTGCTGTGCTATCAGTATCCGTTTCAGTTGTGCTCTTACAATTGGCCTCATTTTCGCTTAACATTAATTTAATGTTTTTCATTTGGGTATAGGCCAATATTTGTGATGATTGATATGTATAGTTGGTTTTAATATCTCGTACATTGTCCAATTCAACCATAAGATACTTGATATTTATACTTTTTAACGTGCCAACTAGTAGTTCTCCTCCAATTGTTTCGACTAGCAGTAGCTGTCCTACTTTTAGTGCCATAAGTTTTTGTACTGGTGTGGTCATTTTGAAAGTTATAAACTGTAATAAATATGATGATATGTACATAATGTTAATCACATTTGGTTGTATACCTGTTTTAAATTTTAAATGTTAATACAATACCCGGCTCTGCCGAATATTTTTAAGACTCTTTCTTACTTGTCCTAAAGTAGTTTTTATTTAATTTTATTTATCTATTCTATTTATCACTCTTTTCTTTATCTTTAAATAAGTCATTTATATGTAGAAGCTAACAACATTTCTTTATCCATACTCCAAGTGCTGCCGGTCAGTTTATTTGTTATATTAATTATTATTGTTGTTATACTATATTGCTTTAGCAAAACAGTTTTAAGAGTTTCATAGAAATTTCGATTTCAATGGGTACAGTTTGTGGAAAAATATTTTAATTATTGAATTTTTCGGAATATTTAATCTTTACTTTTCAAGAGCTAATTTAATACTAATTATCGTTGTTTACCATATAGTAATTTTAAAGCACCGATGTGCAAATATAAATTCTTATGTAAATGATAAAAAATAACGGAACTTAAATACCTAGTACATATATGTAAGTGATGTAAAAACAAAGGCAGCAAACTCCATTTCATTTGTAACCTTAACTAAAAACTGACATAAGTGATGTGTATTAATTCCATTTAGAAGTATTACGACATTGTTTGCATAACAGATGGGTCTAAATCCTTACTAGGTCAGGTTCACAGAGGAAACTCTTATACCGCCACAAAAGAGAGCTGCCAGTTGCTTTTGGTATTAGTAAATAGCGGTCATCTGCATCAAACGAAAACCTTTTCCCCAGGAAAGCACTATCGTCCACAGTCGAACTGTTGCTACAATAACTTAAGATCTCCTTCTAAGACAAAATATGACCCTTAAAACTTTGCGCCACAACACTATTTTAACTCCATTTTCGAATAAATGAAAGCATTTCTTAATCAAAATAAATTTCTGGACTACTACGACAAATTACCTTGTTGTTTACTTAATTTAATATAAATTTGTTGTTGCTGCAACTATTTTTTTGGTTTTCTTTATAAAAATATCACAATTTTGATTAAAAACACACAAATTTTTCTAATTTTGTTTAAGTAAAATGTAAACAAAACATATTGAAGGAAAACATCAGGGATGGAAAATACAGTACTATTAGACAATTCTTTATTGCGTTATTATTTAAGGCTCCTGAGATAAGAAAAATTAAATAATTCTGAAGTTTTATGTAATAATATATGTAATTTTTAACAATTTTAAAGTCATATTTACTTAATTTAACTTTTATTGCCTTAAATGCTTTAGAAAGACTCAATTTTCCATGCCTGTTATGGAAAGGTTGTCGCAGAGTTGTATGGTTATTTCACCAATGTTTTCAACAATTATTAAAATGGTTGTTGTTTTTACTAATAGAAATAAATATTAAATACTGCAGATGGCAGTACTAGTACATGTTTATTTTTCTGAAAATGATTAAAGCAGTGTTGTCACAAAAATTTTGACTCATGTCCCCAATCTTAAGCTTAATGTCCCCAAAAAATCCCTATTTTTAAATTGAGATCCCCACAGTTTTCCCCAAAATTTGTTCATGAAAAATTCTCATGTCCTTCCGATACAAATATTTTCCATTCATAAGCACTGTTTCGTATTTAAAAGGTGCAATACCATTAAAGTACCTATTACGAAAATCTTCCTGATGTTTATAACAATATGGGTAATTTTTAAAAATTTCGAACTGTTGCTACAATAACTTAAGATCTCCTTCTAAGACAAAATATGACCCTTAAAACTTTGCGCCACACTATTTTAACTCCATTTTCGAATAAATGAAAGCATTTCTTAATCAAAATAAATTTCTGTGACTATTACGACAAATTACCTTGTTGTTTACTTAATTTAATATAAATTTGTTGTTGCTGCAACTATTTTTTTTTGTTTTCTTTATAAAAATATCACAATTTTGATTAAAAACACACAAATTTTTCTAATTTTGTTTAAATAGTAAAATGTAAACAAAACATATTGAAGGAAAACATCAGGGATGGAAAATACAGTACTATTAGACAATTCTTTATTGCGTAATTATTTAAGGCTTCTGAGATAAGAATAATTAAATAATTCTGAAGTTTTATGTAATAATATATGTAATTTTTAACAATTTTAATGTAATTTTTACTTAATTTAACTTTTATTGCCTTAAATACTTTAGAAAGACTCAATTTTCCATGCCTGTTATGGAAAGGGCGTCGCAGAGTTGTATGGTTATTTCACCAATGTTTTCAACAGTTATTAAAATGGTTGTTGTTTTTACTAATAGAAATAAATATTAAATACTGCAGATGTCAGTACTAGCACATGTTTATTTTTCTGAAAATGATTAAAGCAGTGTTGTCAGCAGTGTTGTCAGAAAAATTTTGACTCATGTCCCCAATCTTAAGCTTAATGTTCCCAAAAAATCCCTATTTATACCCTACACCACTTTAGTGGGGAGGGTATATTGGGTTTGTGCTGATGTTTGTAACGCACAATAATATTGGTCCTACACCCACCTTAAAGTATACCAATCGGCTCAGAATCATTTTCTGAGTCGATTTAGCTATGTCCGTCCGTCTGACCGTCCGTCTGTCCGTCCGTCTGTCCGTCCGTCCGTCCGTCCGTCCGTCCATGTAAACCTTGTAATCAAACTACAGGTCGCAATTTTGCAGATAATTCAATGAAATTTGGCACATGATCTTTTATGGTATCGTAGACGAAGCCTATTGAAAATGGTTAACATCGGTCCATTATTTCACCTAGCCCCCATACAACTGAACCCCTCGAATAGGGCTTTTAAAATTTGTAATCAAACTACAGGTCGCAATTTTGAAGATAATTCAATGAAATTTGGCACATGATATTTTATGGTACCGTAGATGAAGCCTGTAGAAAATGGTTTACATCGGTCCATTATTTCACCTAGCCCCCATATAACTGAACCCCTCGAATTGGGCTTTTAAAATTTGTAATCAAACTAAAGGTCGCAATTTTGGAGATAATTCAATGAAATTTGGCACATGATCTTTTATGGTATCGTAGACGACGTCTATTGAAAATGATTAACATCGGTCCATTATTTCACCTAGCCCCCATACAACTGAACCCCCGAATAGGGCTTTTAAAACTTGTAATCAAACTACAGGTCGCAATTTTGGAGATAATTCAATGAAATTTGGCACATGATCTTTTATGGTACCGTAGACGAAGCCTATTGAAAATGGTTACCATCGGTCTATTATTTCACCTAGTCCCCATACAACTGCACCCCCGAATAGGGCTTTTAAAATTTGTAATCAAACTACAGGTCGCAATTTTGGAGATAATTCAATGAAATTTGGCACATTATCTTTCATGGTACCGTAGACGAAGCCTATTGAAAATGGTTACCATCGGTCCATTATTTCACTTAGCCCCCATATAACTGAACCCCTCGAATTGGGCTTTTAAAACTTGTAATCAAACTACAGGTCGCAATTTTGGAGATAATTCAATGAAATTTGGCACATGATCTTTTATGGTACCGTAGATGAATCCTGTTGAAAATGGTTTACATCGGTCCATTATTTCACCTAGCCCTCATACAACTGAACCCGCCGAATAGGGCTTTTAAGTTCATAATTATGTTTAATATACTCATATCTCGACAAAAAGCTGCAATAACCAAGTTGTATACAAGACTTGATGACCCCCACGAATTCCATAATAATAGGTTCTCATATGACCCTAGCCGCTATGAAAAGCCCCATCAAAATTTCACTTAAATGTCCACAATTTTATTCAAATTGTATATCTAAGGCAAGGTACAATTCAACTTAAATGCTTTATTATGGCAACTAAATCACATTATATTTTTGTCAAAGGTGTAGGGTATTATATGGTCGGCCTCGCCCGACTATAATTTCTTACTTGTTTTAAATTGAATTCCCCACAGTTTTCCCCAAAATTTGTTCATGAAAAACTCTCATGTCCTTCCGATACAAATATTTTCCATTCATAAGCACTGTTTCGTATTTAAAAGGTGCAATACCATTAAAGTACCTATTACGAAAATCTTCCTGATGTTTATAACAATATGGGTAATTTTTAAAAATTTCGAACAAATATGCAATTTCGAACATACGTTATGCAAAGAAAGTAATCCAAAATTAACAAATTCGTTACGTTTTATCAAAGTCCAAAATTTATATTTTTGAAGAATGAAGTTTAATATTGCATATTTTCTAAACTACTTATCCGATTTTATTATAACATTTTATAGTTACACCGTGATATAATTTTCCATTTTTTTATTGGATTTGGACCATATACATTTAAAGAGAAACTGCGTTTTCAGTTTACAATTTTCTGATCGTTTCTCCTTTTTAAAGGACTTCAAAATTTTAAGGACATACAATTTTATTGAAATATATTTATTACTGAACAGTTTTAGTCAATATGGGTATCAAATGAAAGAGGACAAACTCCGGAAATCAAATATATTTCTTGTTATACCCATCATCAAAAAATTGTTTTTGTCATTCCGTTTGTAACACATCGAAATATTAATCTAAGACCCATAAAAGTATATATATTCTGGATCCTTATTAAATTCTAAGACGATCTAGCCATGTCCGCCCGTCTGTCTGTCCGTCTGCTGAAATTTTGCATAGACATTTTGTATTGATGCAGTTTGTTTGGTGTTGAAAATGGGCAATATCGGTCCACGATTTCGCCTAGCCCCCATATAAGGTCCCCTTCAGAAAATGACTTTAACGCTCAGAACTAACTAAAAGAAGCAGCTATAGTGATGAAATTCGACAAAAACATATTTTATAGGAACCCAAATCGCTTTGTAAAATTTTATAAGGATCGGTCCATAATTGACCCTACCCCCCATATAAGTGCCCCTTCAGAAAATTACTTTAACGCTCATAACTGTCTTAAAGAAGCATCTATTGCGATGAAATTCGACATGAATATATTTTATAGGAATCTTAATATCTTTGTAAAATTTTATAAGGATCGGTCCATAATTGACCCTCCATATAAGGCCCCCTTCAGAAAATGACTTTAACGCTCATAACTGACTAAAAGAATTATCTATAGCGATGAAATTCGACACGAACATATTTTATAGAAACCTAAATCGCTTTGTAAAATTTCATAAGGATCGGTCCTCAATTGACCCTACCCCTCATATAAGGTCACCTTCAGAAATTGACTTTAACGCTCCTTACTAGCTTAAAACTGCGAGTACAGAAATGAAATTCGACATAAACAAGTTTCGTAAGAGCCAAAACCTCTCTACTAAATTGTATGAGGACCAGCCTATAATTGACCCTACCCCCCTATAAGGTCCCCTTCAGAAAATGACTTTAAATTTAATTACTCAATCAAAAATGCGATTACAGCAGTGAAATTCTACATACAAAAATTTTGTGCTAGC